GTCTAGTATGTCTGATATGGTAGACAAAACATCAAGATCAGGCGAATATGGATATCAATCCATTTGAACATTACTCTCAATCTGAAGATATTTATTCTGCTCTTATAGCAGCTTGATCAAAGAAGTGTCATCCATGAACAAAAAATATGGGCCTGCCACAACCTAAACAATCTTACCCTGCAGTTACAGAACCTTACTTACACCTCTGTATGGTTATAGAGCATCTGTAATAGATATAGAGCTTAATGTCGTTTTCTCTCAACCTTCCTCCCCAACAAGAATATTACCATCACACAAAGACTGTCATTTATATATACGATATGAAAGATTACACTTTTCAGGGTCTCTTTAGATAAATCAATGTCAACAATTAAAGTGGATCCATCCACAGACTATATGATGATCAGCCATCTTGACTTCGTTGAAGATGAATGACAACATCTTAAATGCAGAAAGCAAAATGAAGTGCAAGTCTTTCATGCATTAAAACAATGTATAAGAAACTTTCGATACATCTGTTTATTTGGGTATCAGTGATTGTTGAAAAGTCCCAAACCAACTACCAGCAAATGCACTATAATTTCTTCATTCCACCCATGACAAATAGTGGCCTTCAAATGCAGCAGCAACCTTCAGACAACTTTGATTAACAAGGTTGATAACCATGCTTAAAAAATTTCTTCACATCGTGAGATTAAGCTGGCCAGACAGTATAATGGTTAGGGAAGCCTGCTGCAGAGCATGGATTCAAATACTGAAGAAGGCATGAATGTTTGTAAATGTATACCATCTCTGTGGCATGGAGGCACTCTAAATACACGGCAAGTTGAAAATCCTCTCGTATGGTTTCATGGAAGGGATAAGGGGTGAGAGACCGTCGGACCCCCCTCTTCCTTGCTCTCTGTCAAAATTGGGGTGGAAGTAGAAATCCAACCTCCTTGATGCTTTGGCAAGCATTCTTCCTTGAATTACATGGACAAGACAACAACATCATGAGATGAAGCTTTAGGGAACACGCACAGCTCCCTGAAAATGCCCAACAGTATTTCACCTGCAAGAATTCTGCCATGCACTTGTAACTTCTAGCCTTTAGCAGAATTATTTATAAGAAATTGTTTGGCAATTTTCAATTTTTAAATATGTTATAGTTAACCAAGATATGTACATAAAGCCAAACATATTTCTCTTTTTAATTTGCATATTGTGTACAAACACCTGTACATCAATGTTTTTTATATTCAGTAACAAAAACTAATATAAGTAAGCATACTCAGGGGAATTTTAACCAGTCTATGCAGCAACACCACTTACATTTGACTTTTAATTTTGTCATCATTGTAACAGGCTTATATTTAACATTTTTAATTATTATTTTTTATTATTATTATATTTTACATCTGCCAAAATATGCTGTTTAATGGACCACACTCTATAAGGAATATGTATCCTACAAATGTTTCACGCTACACAAAATACTGTTACACACCATGCATACACAGACACACACACAAAAAAAAGTGGATAGTTCTGTAACTCCCATTTTACTGGGCTCATTGACGAAATTTAAAGCGTGTTTTTCAAGTCTCAAAAGCGCAACTTACAATGCATATTAGATTTATATATAGCATTGTTATAACATAGGTATTCTGACACAAAATCAGACTTTTTCTGAAATAATGATTTATATATATAATATATTTCGATTCTACAACTCAAGCCTAAATATTAAAAAATTTAGGAAGAAACTCACCAAGAAATTAAAAAATTTATCTTAAAACACTTTTTCTAGTTTGCGCCAAGAATAATTCACTAGGCAAAATTTTTAATTTATGGTAACCAATTTTACTTTCCCTTTCATAGTGCACAAGTGGAATAAAAGGTACAGCGCTCATTCTTTCTTAAAAAGTGTGAAAACTATATTTGGCATGATTATTGCTTGTAAATTCATGAAATTAAAAATTCATGAATATTTTAAAAATCTTTGATTAACAAATTCTAATTTTTTGCAGGTATACAAAGAAGCACATCTAATTTAAGATGATGGCAAAAATTTGATAGGTTTCAACTAATTTTTTTTTGAAAATTTCATAAAAATTACTAAAAAAATACATATTTTAAAAATAAATCAGAAAATAGCTGTGAATTTTATTTCAATTGAACCTAAATTTTGAATTGTGAAACACACGCATAAAAGAATCAAGTAAGTTAGATAAAAAAAAAGTTATTATTAATAAATTTTTATATACCAAATATATACCAAATTCAATTAAAATTAACACTGAGGAGCTAAAACTTTGAGAGCTAACTTTTTAAAAATTGATGCAATTTTTATAAAACTCCACACTATAGGCAGAGTTTGAGCCGCAAAACTGAAATATCGAAAAAAATTTATATGTCATTTCAGAAAAAATACGATTTTGTGTCAAAATACTTATTAGAACAATGCTATATAAAAACAAAAAAATATATCTTAAGTCACGCTTTCAAGACATGAAAAATGCAATTTCTTCAATCTGCCTAGTACAAAAGGAGTTATAGAGCTGTCGCTTCTACCCCCAAGGTGTACCCCATATCGGCCCAGCGTGCAAAACCACTACACCATGAAGGTACGGTAGGAAGACAGGAGAAATGCCTTATATACTCCCCCTTAGCTTGGGCAAGTTGTTGTTATTAGTTATTAACTCAGATGCGAGATTTACTTGAACTGTGATTTAGACTTTAATCTATAAGTGATTTCAGCAACTGATATTTCTTGCGTGCTGAGGGTTTGTTCCCCACTCTCCCTGAACTATTTGCTGTTATTCATTCTGCTGTTTCCAACTTTTTTAATAAATTGTTAATTTTTTCCTGTTTATCGCAGGAATGAACATTTAGAGAGATACCAAAGAACTCATAGCTAGCAACAAGATTAGATTCTTTTTTACTTTAACTACATTTTGTGCTCTAGGATAGCAGACTTTCTATAAGGTCCAAAATGTAAATATGTAATACTGAAATTTTATGCTCATTATTTACAAGCAAATGAAACATAAACACCACAATTATTTCAATAATAGCATAAAATACTAATGTTATGTAATAATATACATGAACTCTAAATTATATACATATTTTGGAGTTCAAAAATTTTATCCTTTACTCACAAAATGTAGCAAATTTTTAATACAATAACATAAGATTCTGTGGAAGGAAAAAAGGCTTTTAATCAATTTTTAACTTAATCTCATATTCTGAAAGATAAATTTAAACAATTTATTAAACAATAACTATCATATTATAACAATTAATCCATATGCATGCACACCCTGCCAACACAAAGTCTGAGATAGCAAGACCATTTTTTAGTAATTCAAGTGTTTTGAAAAAGGCACTATGGTATGTCTAGTAGTATTTGCAGCAGGCAAACAAATCTATTAAAAAGGCATAAAATACTTACGGATTCTACAGATATTTTATGTGGAAATTTGAGATTAAAGTTCCTTTATGTTCCAGAAAAAGATTTGCACAATTTATTCTTATTAATTAAAACACCGTGTGATGTGTAAAACATAAATGCCAGATGCTATGATTTTAAAAAGTATTTAGTAGCTTTCCATATATTTTCTTTCTGTCTGTGTTTCAATAATAATACCTAACCTCTTCTTACAAAAACCATACGTACCATCATAACATATAAAAGGCATTATTATCTTTTCAAAGTACAATAAATTCTCTGACAGCTTTAAATAAATCTGGTCTCCTATAGGGACGATTGTCTTACACAGACAATGTTAATGTTTTACAAATTGTCAGCAATTACAGTTACTTTCAAAAGTAGTGGTCTTAGGAAAGTCATTGCCTTGGCAGGCTTCAGTGCAGTAAAAAAGTAACAGTCCAAGTAAAACATAATAAAAACAAACAATCGACATTAAGTTTCAGTACAGAACTGAAAATCAAGTAACAATGTTTATCTATACTTTTCACTCCATACATTTACTTTAACAAGCAAAATTAATGATTCTGATTGAAAAAGTAGCATAGACAAGTAAATTCAGTGAGGAATAATTAATATGCAAAAGAGTTTAAGACATTAGAAATTGATGATTAGCATAGCGTATTACTAGAAAAATACAAAGTACAGTGTACTCTTGATTGTCTGAGAACTGATTATCTGTGCATGGCAGTGACCAAGCATGCACAATCAATAATGCTATATGCGAAAGTGTGTATGCAGTGACCACGCATGCACAATCAACGCTATATGCGAAAGTGTGTATGAAACAGACATGCAGATATTGCCCCAAATTTCACAAGAATAGAAGAGTCTAAGAGTAACACAAGAGAAGAAGATATTAACAAAATTGCATTAGTCGAGAGACAGAAATGATATCTGCAGAAACTCTATTGGATTTTGTTCACCAAAGGGGATTCGAATAAAATGATAAAAATAACACTTTTAAAATATGCAGTGAAATATTTTTCGACAAGTACTGAAACATTCTCAAAATAAAATTATTTAGTTTTTTAAGAAATAAACACAATCTACATAATTTGGTTATTACAGCAAAACACACTAGAATGCCTTTGTGGAGGACTTTCTAAGGGAACTGGCTCATCTATAGGTTTACACGTGGGAGAAAACCATGAAAATGGCAATGCAAACAGCCCATTCTCCAAGATTCAAACCCTAGAACGAACTACCAGTGTTAAGCGATTGTACCACTCGGGCGCTGGTGGTGCAATATACATGAAACCTGATAGTCTGAATTATCTGTAACCTGCTTCTTCGGCATCAGCCTAAATAATCAAGAGTACACTAAATGTTTTAAAAAAAAAAAAAAAAACTTTTTCATGAAACCAGGTCAAACATTAAAAGCTAACACGATAAATATTTTTTAACTAAATGGAGAGGGAATGAATATTTAAAAACTTTTCAGCAAGCTAGATTATGTTATATAAAAGAAAAAATAATTAATGACAATTAACTTAATTACATTTAAATTATGACAAAAAAGTATTACCTTTTATAAGCAAATTTTATTTGGTTAGGACCATTCAAATTTGACTGTGGTAAATTCATTTTTGAATATACGGCCTTCCACTTATTTTTATTTGTAACCTAAAAAAGGTCAACCCATTAGAAAAATTAATAAAAATATATTAACACACTTTTTGAAAAGAGAAAGATATAAATATAAAAGATTAACAGGACATTCAGAGTTACATAAACTATATTTACCTTATTGTAACCTCCTAGTTTGTGCATTATTTTAAAAAGCTTATACAAGTTTAAATCTCTATTACTAACTGTAGGTGCCTTGTTTATGGGAGTACCTTAAAGAAATTTAAAAAAAAAATACATGTATATATAAAGAAAGATGCAAATAATATGATATAAGAATATTTTTGTGAGTTACATTGAAGCTTTATATATTTATAAAAACAATAAATTACATATATTATATAAAATAAATACAATATATTTTCCTTCAGTTTTTTCCTGATTTTACTTCTTGAAAATCAAGAGGGAAAATTATGTGGTATATACCACTTCCGAGGGAATGGCTTAAATGAAAAACACAGCATAATGGAAAGTATGTATAAAGATGTTACTCTAGTCTATTTAAAAGAAGCTATTAATCAAAAAGTTGCAATATCCTTTGTGTTTACAGAAAGCACTTTTGAGGGTGCACGTTATTTTATATGGTAACTAAAAAGGCACAAGTTTCTAAATCATATTGGGGGAGCATAAGCAAAGGAGAAAAATATGTGAATAAATAAAATATTGTTATACAGTACACAGTCTCTAATCCGGACATCAATTATCTGGAATGATCTATAATAGCGAGAACTGGCAATTTGTCCAGGCCTATGGACTTGTTATTCAAGAAATCAGCATGCACTGAAACATATGTAACTGAGATATAAGATAAATTACCTCTTTCATCCATAAATTTATACAGCTGGGCAACAAATCTGTCTTTTTCTTCACTTGGTTCATCATCAGAAGACTATATAAAACAACATGATATACCATAAGATAGAAAAAATAAACACATTAGTTCAATTATTTTAGCTTTGGATCACATCAAAATACAGCAGTTTTATTTAAGATTACAGTGTACTTTAATTCAGTTCAGTTAGAGACAATACATGCAGTAGTTTTGATTGAAAAATATAAAAATTCAATAATTCCATCGTCAATACACAATTACAAAACATAAAGTACTATAATAATGCTTGAATTTAGATATTAAATATCTTTATATCAGTTATAGAAAGTACAGATGCAGAAAATTCTTGTTGTTTATGCAGAAAACGTTTACTTCTAGATTAATTTGTCAAAATATAAACAATTATGGAAAAAAATCATATTCTTCCCGTCCTATCCCTATCTGAAGAATATATTTTCAACTTTTTTCTACATATGGCTTAAAATTCTATTTAATATTATAGCTACCAATCTTGAAATATAGAAAACCAGGAGGTTTTTCATGATGGCCAATGAGGCCAATTCAAAAGAATTCTAAACTGACTTAAATTCACTTTTGATTCCTATTAATGAACTCTTTATATTTAGATATTCTAAATTTTTGTTCTTTGATGAACTTCATTTTGCAATTTTCTTACATTCAGAAAATTTAAATCAGAATGAAAAGCTACTATTTATCAAAGTAGCTTTAAATACGATGAAAAAAGTTAATTAATATACATACTTCTACATAGCTACACTTTATTGATGCTGAAAACAGAATTTGTAAAATTCAAAGTAAAAAAAAGTTTCATTAATTCAAAAAATTCCATTTATTGCTGTGAAACATTTCCCTTTGTAAAGGCTAAAAAATATATATTTAAAAAGAGAGAGAGAAAGGAAAGAAAGATTCAGAGACTGAAAAGCTGACAACCAATATTTCCAACTAAGGGTTCTCAGAAACTATGTTATTGATAATTTTAATGTTGACATTTCTCCCTAACAAGGCATAAATTTGAAATTAATAATAAATGAGAAAGTTTAATCAATAAATGTTATATTATTATTATTATTTATGCTTGTCTTGAGCATAACAAGTGTTAAAAAAAGGCGGAGGAAACTTTCTCCATACATTTTGGCACATAATAACTGGAAGAGTTGACAGCTATGCGAGATCCTTGATTTAATGGGTTCCCCCCCTCCATGATTTCAGTGGAAAGGTATAAAATAAATAAGCTAAACTATCCCTCATTTAATGGTAGATTTATTTAAGACAACTGACTTGCATGTAATGAGGTATCTTTAAGTATCACAGATTTTCAAATTCTCTCTAAAATACTTTATAAATTGGGGAAGAAGAAGATGCACTTAAATTATTCAAAATGGGAGAAAATTTATTAAAAACAATACATAATAAACAACTCAGCTAATTATGATACTTAAGAAGATGCTGCCCAATGATGTAATGTAAGTAAAAATCTATGTAAAGATCAAATAAATTTAAGTTCTCAATTTTGGTAGAACTAAAAAACTCAGTATAAGAAGGCATCTCCTTAACATACTGTGCATGAAATAAAGAAATTCTAGTAATTTTTTAGGGAGTAGGATTCAACAGAAAGTAAGCTGTAATCAAAAATTGGATGAACTGGCTTGATGTCTGAGTAAGTATGAAAAACATAACTTAAATAGCAATAAACTGTTTAAATGAATATTTAGACACTGCTTCTGCAAAACTGATACAAACTAGCTGCATCCCATTACTGATAGTGTACACATATACACTTGATATATTTACACATATACATTTGATTTAATCAGCAAACTGATGTACACAGCACATTAATTCCAGGTAGTGTCAGCAATATAAACTGAAAACTGTTTACAACATTAAAAAAAAAAAATTGTTTCTGATAATGAGAGAATAAAAGAGTAAACTTCTCTTCTCTTATGACAGTTAGCATAGACTAGTTAGCAATTAGCTCAACAGTCATATGGCAAGTCATATGACTGATTAAAATTTTAAAAATTTCAATTTTAGAAAGAAAGCTTTTACAACAAAATTTTTATTTACACAGCTTTTTAACTTACTAAAAATTCACAAAAATATATAATCTTGTTATTATAGAATTAGAGTTCTCAAGTGGTTAAACTTATGAAGGAATCTCATGTCCCACAAAAACATATGTAAGTAGGAACTTTACATACCAAAAGAAGTTGTACTCACCTTAAGTTTCAATTTAAAAAAAAAAAAAAAATCAGATTTCTTAGAAAAGTTTTTTTATGATGGAACCTTTCAAGCAGGTTCTGCTCTAGTTTTATTTTTTCCAGTTATTTCATGAACAGTAAAATTGAGATTAGTTCTGTCTTCCAAATGAAAATTGCATATTTTATTAATAGATGAAATTATTTAGAAAAAAAAAACAACTTACATCTGAATCAGAATCATGACTATCTTCATCTGCTGAAGGAAAGTCTAAACCTTGAAAAAGAGCTTTGTCCCAATGAGGTGGTAATTCTTCTTTTTCCAGGTATAATACTGCTTTCTCTACAGCTACAATAAGTGGAGAGAAAACTATATTAAAGTTAAGTATTGATTTATAACAATACAAAATTAATTCCTCACAGTTTATTTAATCTTTTAATCCTCTCAGCCTTACCGATGCAAAATTCCCTACAGAAGACTGGCTTTCATATACATTACATGTGAAAACATCTGCCAGTATTTATCTGATTTAGGATTGTTTGTGAATTGGAAGGAAAGGAATAAAGATACAAAGTGACAGTCTTTTTTTTTTTAACCATAATCAAGAAAATACAATTTATGCATGACATTTTGAGGAACTTTGAAATTTGAGAGCTAAACCTGTAACGGTCAGAGGGTTAAAAATTACTAAACCCAATTTTGCCTCCATAATGTTTTTAAGAATAACTACACTAATGCTTAACTTTCATAAATTTTGCACACAACTTTTAAATAACTTCAGATAATAACAGTAAAAATGAAATTCTATTATCTTTTGAAAAAAAAAAAATATTTACCTGTTCTTAGAGTATTATTGTCTACTTTCATTGCAATTTCTCTGTTAAATTCTCTAGTATCTTTTTTGGGAACTTGATAACTAAAAATATTCAATATATATAAATATGCACAAGTATTTTATTTAGTTTTAAATTTTACTTGATCATTAGAACTACAGTAATTGGAATTTTAATCAATATTAAGAAATAATGAGCATACTATTTTCCATCTTTGAAAGATCGAATTAGATGTTCTTCTTTTGAAATTTTTATATTTGACTGTGCAGGATGTGGTACAATCAGACCAGGATACCAACTGTCTTTTTTCCGTCTGTCGCCATAATCAACACAAACTACTTTACCCAAATCTGGATCTCTTTCTTTTCCTCGGATAGCCTTCAATTTTCTAGGAAGTGAATCTTCATCACTACTGCCATAATCTCTGTAATACAATTTAGAAAAAAAGAAGGACAAAAAATTGGGTATCAAATAAAAAGAGCGAAAAAACACAAAGTATCTAGCATGATCTAAATTACCATATTTGGTATTTACAGAAAATCCCACTGACTACAAGAGGCGGTGCCAATCATGCCAAACAAAATAAAATAATAATAATAATAAAACATTTACTAATTACAAGAAAAAACATTCTATTTTTCTTTCAAATATATTATATTATCATTTACTTATATTTAATTTTTCATTAAAAATTTCCATTATTTTTTATTAAGGAGACATACTGTAAAAGCAATTATTTTCACTAGGTTTTAATTTAATCGCCAGTAAGATTCCATAACTTTGGAAATATTCAACAGCATGCTCTACTGCAGTAGGCAGGTCCCAAATTTTAATTTTTTTTTTTTTCGAAAATGGGTGATAGAGGGGGTGGAAAAAGGAGTCTTTAATCAAGAATAATAACTACCATGTGTAATCAAGGTTACACTAAACCCACCGTGTTTGAAGAAGACTTTTCCATTTTTGGCGAAAAATCACATAGTTTTGCATCTTTTCTTTAATAGGCAAAAATGGCTGATAAGATTTTCCGTAAGTACCCCATATTTTTATATCATCACCATATAGATGTTAACTCTACTGAAATTAATTTTTAAAGCAGACGGCTGATTAGAAAGGAACACATCAAACTCAAATATATTGAGCACTACTTAATGGTCTTGACATTTATTTTCTTCTAATTAACATCTGTAGTGCTTATGAACAGAAATATATAAAAGGGATACATAAGTTGATGCAATCTAGCATATCCTTCCATTCTTGCTTTTATTATTTCCATTGTTTTTTAAGTAGTTCTAAGTCACATCTGTAATAGTAACTTTAATGTTATTAAACAGTAGCTGGCAAAGGAATAAGGAGAAGCATATGCTAAAATATAATGCTTGGAAAATTTTATTTACAGGCATTACAGGAATCAAATAAAACAAAAATGGGAGAAAATTCTATATCACCTTTAAAAAAAAAACTGCGACAAGTTTTACGATTTTTTTAGGTAAGGATAATTAAGGAATTGATGCTGATAATATTTCATAATACTCTTTACGGAACATGCTCTAGACTAGCAAGCCAAAATACATGAATAAATAACAATGGGAAAAACAAACCATGGTAAGCAATTCTAAACAGATTCAATGAATAGCAAAAAAAGTTATACAAATTGCAAATCCTACAAAGTAACCTGATAGTAAAAAATAAAATAAATAAGTAAAAACTGTTATTATTATTTATATCATTGTAAATATGATTGTAAGAAGCATTTCATAGCTTTTTATACGTAATTCCAATATATCCATTGAATATTTCTATATACTTCAACACTACTTTCTTATACAATATATTCACCTGAAAAATATTTAATTTAATGCATACTTGTTAATTATCAATTTCAGCATTTCTTTCCAATACCAGTTGTTTTAAAGATCACACATATTTAAAAAAGACTAAATAAGCAAAGCAATTTTTCCACAATAATGTAAATACATTTAATTGTTAATTGCGTTATTTAATCTTACCTAACAGTACATGAATATGTTTTATTACATATTAAAATCACCTAAATATATAGCTTCACAGCAGATTTTGCAAAAATAATGCATAAAAACATATAAATAAATGGCTCTTGCAACTAATTTTTAATGTATACACACACACATACATTTCACAGTAAACATAATAAATAATTCTTTTAAAGTTACTATAATAAAAACTTACAAAGAAGAATTCATAGTAGATCGCCTTTTCCGTTTATATTTACCAGCACCAATAACAGGAGTACCAAAATGTTCTGGATTTGTAAGTGGAAACTGATCTAAAGTCTAGATAGAAAATAATAAATTATATATCACAAAAAAGTGTTACAAGTTATTTAAATTATGTTAAACATACCCCCCTTTCAAAATACTACAAATAGATTAACTTTTCTATATACAAAGTAACTAATTATATATAGATTTTAAAATATATTTTTAAAAAAAAAACTATCTTAGTTATTTCAGATATACGCATACTTAAAAAAAATATTTGCTATATATTTCTACTTAAAATCTTAATTCAAAATTCAATTTTATACTATCAAACAGCACCAAAATTTTAGATTCGTAAATTTTATAATGTCAACAAAATTGCTTTTAGTTAACAAAAACAAAAAAAAAAAAAACAAAAAAAATTAAAATTAAAATTATAAAATGAACAGACAATTTTCACACTTTCAACAATGTTCCCTTGTATTTTTATAGTTATATAGCAGGAATTTCAACAAACAACTTTAGTTACAGAAACTTTACATGTTTATTAAAAACGCCTAAATTCATCCAACAAATACACTGGTGTGCAAAAATTAAGGGCGAAGTCGAAAAATTAGCATATCAGCTGGAAAAAGAGGCAGAGCGGACAGAAAGACCAATCAGGAGATTAAGTAAGGTGATGTACAGTAGCACATGCGCAGATATGCAGGTAGACGTAATGGGGGAGTGTCTGAGTAGTATAAAGCATGTTGTCGGTGTAAGATCAGTTTTCTGGCAAAGAGATTGCACGCCGTATAGCAGTTAAAATCACCCGAGTGGGCCTCAAAGAAAAAAAAAAAAAAAAAAAAAAAAAAAAAAAAAAAAAAAAAAAAAAAAAAAATAAAAAAAAAAAAAAAAAAAAAAAAAAAAAAAAAAAAATGCGAATAATCAATCTGTTAGACGACATCTGGATGCTTTTACCCGAGGTCGAATCATTGGGAAGTTGGAGGAAGGCCGCAGTGTGACAAGTGTGGCTGCAGAGTTCGGAATTGCTCACAGCATCGTTTCACGACTTTGGAGACAATTTCAAACTACAGGAACAGCTATCCGGGGGTTTAGTAATGGTCGTCCACGAGGAACCACACCCGCAGATGACCGGTATATTGCCTTACAGGCCAGAAAAAACAGGCGGCAGACAGCAGGAGAAATCGCTAGACACACGACACAGGCGGCTGGACGACCGATATCGCGTTTTACCGTGGTCAGAAGACTGCACGGTGGTGGTCTGTTTGCACGACGCCCTGTACGGTGTGTACCTCTAACGCCTGCCCATCGGAGAAGGTGTTCTCTGTGGTGCCGGGAACACCGGAATTGGAGAGACAATGAATGGGGACGAGTACTCTTTACAGATGAGAGCAGATTCAGTCTGAGTAGCGATTCTCATCATCTGGAGAGAGCAGGGAAGCCGCAATCATCCCTCGAACATTATTGAAAGAAACAGGTATGGAGGTGGCGGTGTTCTTGTTTGGGAAGGCATCATGCTTGGTAGTCATACAGCGGATCTCAATCCCATCAAGCATGTATGGGATTTTCTAGGCAGACGCTTGGCAGCTCGTACCTTACCACCAGTAACGATTCCGGAGCTTCGATTGGCGCTGCAAGACGAATGGGCAGTAATGCCTCAACAACTCATTGACACCCTCATTCTCAGCATGGACAAACGCTTTAAAACTTGCCTAGCAGTCAGGGAAAAATCATATCCCCTATTAAAGACCGGATGTTTCTTGCTGGACACCCATCACAGGGATGTTTCGGCCTTCAGTCGCATTGCGCTCCATGCTACTTTTTCAATCAAGCTTCTTTTTATCCCTCTGATTTCTTAGTAAGTGTTGCTTACATTACTAATGTCCTTACGTATTGGGGATCTTGTGGTATTAAATGTGTTGATTTGGAAAGCTTTTGTACAAAATTATATTGAAAAAAACGTCACGTCCTTAATTTTTGCACACCAGTGTAATTTGGTAATACACTTAATATAATAAGTTCACTACATTAAAGTATTATAGAAGGGTTAAAACATATTTATGGTTAACTAAATGACTTATGAAATATTTATGTTATAAATCTGTAATCCAGCTTAAAATCACTCACAAGCACAAAAATATTTAAGTAATAATAATGGAAAAAAATGGTTAATTCCAGTTATCTGAAAATACATTTTCCCCCTGCCTAAACACTGAAATAATTGTTGCATTACATAAAATAAAGCAGAATCATCGCTGCTTCTTTACTCCCTTCGCGCCGACTGTCACGTATACGTGCCAGCAACGAACACACTTACCTACCAGCCGACATGCAGGGCATTTTTGCGTTTACTACCGACTGTCACGTATTTGTGCCAGTACCCTGGAACGTTTTTCAAACTATAATTTCTGCCACAAGATGGCACTGTATGTCCATATGGTTTCAGATACATGTACATTAGACCTTCTACTCGAAATGAGAGAATCATGACTCACATACACGTGTTTTTGATTATATAAACAAACGGGGAACTAAATGTTTCCGAATGGCGTGATTTATGACATCTCCTTAAATCGCACTTTATTCGCAGGTGGTAGTTGTTTATTGTAAGTAGAAGTTTTATATGCGCTAAAGCGTTGAGTATTTCGGTTTACAGTTCAGTTTTTAGAAAATAATTAGATCTTGTTAGACGTGAATTCTTTCTGTTTTTACCGTTTCAATGTCGAAGCGTCGAAAATGTTTAACAGAGCATGAAATAGCAGAAATGATGCAATATATTTTAGATATTGTAAATCAGCCGATTTACACCCCTTTTATTGCTTCAGGTATGTTGCATCAGTATGTTCTTCACAAATTGTAATATTTTTATTAATATTCAAAAACTTGATTCTGTATTTTCTGCTAATTTTACTTTTATTATGTATTTACTATAGTACTTTCAGTACTAAGAACAATTTTACTTTTATTATGCATTTACTATACAGTGAAAAGACTTTAATCCGGACTCGTCGGGAATTCGGCGATTCCGGATTATAGATCATCAGTTTAAATCTGGTAAGATGGCATGCAGAAATTATAAAATTAAAAATATGAAACCGTAATTTATGAAATAAAGAGCAATTATGATCTAAAGGGTATCAAAATTTACAAAAAAAAAAAGCTTAATATTTATTTGTTTACTTTATTAAACATTTCTTTCAATGCGCGCATGCGTGAAGCATACATTACATATAGCCGAAATTAGAAAACTGCAACCAGAAAACTATTTGATGTGTATTCGTGATATTTATAATGACGAGGAATTTGATTTAAATCATATCAAAGACGGAGTACATCGAGATGAAATACTACATTTAGTGAGGAATTATAAGCCGAATAAAATAAAAACATCTGCTGTAAAGATAAGATAGTGCTGACAGATCAACTTCCAGTTCATTGCGCGTCGCGACGCGCAATGAACTTTGATGAACACAAAATACCTTTTCCAGGGTAGCTGATTGTTCTTTGTTGTTTACAAAACCAATCTGCAATGACTTTTATCAGCCACATGGTTTGAATTCCACACTTGTCTAAAATGCTTAATCGCACTCAAAATGAAAATCACAAAAAAAGGCAGAAATACAAGATGAATAAATATTACGGCCTTTTGCAAATTTCAACCAAAATTAAGGACTTTTTGAGAATTAAAGAGCATTTAAATAAAATCCTATGGACTTTTTAAGGGCCATACAAACCCTAAATATCTTTCGCTTTGATTAGGGATTTTCTTCAAAATATGTAAACAATTCCCAAACTAAAAATATTTTTACTCTTTCTCAGTGTTTAAATTTTGTTTTGACATTATAATTGTTTGGCTTCAAATATATAGAGACTAAATATAAAAACAAGATGATGAAGGCAAAATGATGACCAGGTGAAGACCAGAAAATTCCATTCAATGGAACGCAGTCAGAATCAGAAAACTCTATCTCAAATATGATATGAACCAATTCATCAATTCGTTTAAGTTTTTTCCCCCCCTTCTTATTTTTATTTATTTTATTTTTTTTGGGGGGGAGGACATTTTGAAAAATGTTTACTTGTATAACAATTTAATACTGAAATGCAATAGACTGGGTTGGCTCTCGGCAAAAAGCTTGATATAAACATATATTCAACTTATCAGAATAGACATGAGGAACATGATTTGGATTACCCTAAATATTCTATACATTGATATCATACAGATGATTGGATTTGTAGGAAATAAAAGCAATTGTATAATTTCAAAAATAATAATACATGACTAAGAACATGCACAGCTTAGCTGCAAGCCTGCTTGTTGATAATAATGATTTTGTTTATTGTAGTTTTAAAACATTTATGCTTAATGATATTTAAAAAAGATATAAATGTAATTATTTTCATTGAAATCAAAATTCAGTAACAATATTTATGAAATTCAAAGCAGTACTAAAAGCTAATAATTTTGTTTCTAGGTTTTCCTTGCATGGGGAATAAAACTCCATGCATTTAAAGATTACAGATGCTTAAAAGAAATGGTCAGAATAATGGTATACAAATAACGTATGTGTGAAAACAGTATTGATCAGCTACTTAGATGCACCTTCTTTTTAAAAAAACAATTTTTAAAATGCAACTCTAAATTAATGTTTCAAACGAATAAAATTATGTTTACAACTAAAACATTTCATCTCTCAGTGTATTTCCTTAAAATGGAACTACACAGAATTGAAAAACCCTTAACCCCATTCTTTCAAGTCTAAATTCCAAGATAGAATCAAAAGCGCTATTTTTTTTTTTTTTTTTTTTTTTTTTTTTTAAATCTGGAGACTTAACTTATTACCCTGTCAACCATGAAACTATTGATAAGCAGCATGATTTATAGCTAGTTGTGGTAGGCATGACATAACACTCATAACATTTGTACTTTTGTTTAATGTAACCCCAACTGTTTCTTGATAAGCTACATCTTGTTTTTATGAACAAAGATATAAATTAACTGTTATTGTAATTTTTCTTGCAGGCAGAAAAAATATTATTACAACTTGGGCTCTGCTTTCTACAGAACAACAAGCAATGGACTATTTTCAAAGTTATGGGGTTCTATCATAAAAAAATTTATGTTAATGGACATAATATGATACTTTCATTTGAAACCAGATAAACAATGGTGATGCAATATCTGTGACTGCATTCCAGTTTATTTATAGCTGGTCAAGAGAATCAACATCAGTTAAATGGAGAATTGCTGGATATGGCCAAGAAAATAATCAAGGGGCCTAACAAAATAGTAGAAACTGAAAGGCATCGAAAAAATGAAGTGTGTGGAATATTGATTGCTTATTAAATAAAGAGGAGTTGGTTCTTTCAGAACTCTTTAGGAATGACCTTTGAAACTTTTATGGTTCGATGGTAGACAACTTTTAAAGTTGACAGGATGATATGAAAGTATCTTATTTTCTAGTATATAAGACTTATAATTTAATATCTAGCTGAAATAAAAGGAAAAAATTACATACAGGACTTTCTGCAAAATGTCTCCCACTTTTTAAACATAATGATGTTCGCCTCAATGTAGTTTCGTCTCCATCATCAAACACTACAAATAAAAACAACAATTATAATAATTTTTTAAATGCTAAATATTTCTTAATTTACTTAGTTTCACAAAATATTATAAACTTACCAACAGTATATTGGCTATAATCTTGTAATTTATTAATTACAGCTTCAAAAAATTGATTCTTTTCAGGATGTTTTGCTTCAATATCAGCTCCAATCTAAAATATTTTAGAACATTTGTATTAATACTTCAAAGAATAATAAAATTATATAAAGAGGAATTTTAGACATATTTAAATCTGAGAAATATAGGCAAATACTTACTCTCAAAGGCCCTTTTATTTGATCATCAGTAATCATATATGCACCCAGATTATTTTTAAAGGTTACCTAAGGGGAAAAAAACTGTGTAAATTGATGCAATCTGCTTGATCAATTTTCTGTTTACTAGACAAACAAAAACTAAGTTTGGGTATGACTGCATATCCACTTGTTACTCACTACTTCCACTAAACACATGGTATACTTAAGACACAAATAATACCTTTACATACCAACTGAACATAAATCATGCCATAACAAATGAGGAGTACTATGGAACTATTACTGTTATACTAATGCTTCTTGTAAGATTTTTCTATATCAGTTTAACAGAATTATGCTTTTAATCTTAGTAATGAATAGACTGCAAACGGTACACCATACAATTAATGCTCTCTTTTCACCACTTTAATTTAATAAGGCTTTTTTTTCATAACTTTAATTTAGTATGACTCTTTTTCCACTAAAAATGGAGTAACATTACAATTTTGTAGGTGCAAAATCTAATTGTAAAATATAATTCTGTATTCCTTTTCCCTTCACTGTAATTTGTACCATTCACAGTAAATCCATCGCATTTAAATGCTTATTTCTGATTCAAAATGTTTCGAAAGCTATATTCTATAAAAACTTAAAAGGAAAATGCAAATTAGATTCTGTCAATGTGTCTTATAAAATAAAAAGAATACTTTGAAATTTGATCAAAGTATTTAAAAATTTATTTATAGAAAAATATTACCTAACTAGCTTCATACAAATACTGATGCTTGACACTTTAAAAGGAAATACTTCATAGATATATAAAATGCAAGTCATTTTTTAATACAATGTTATGAAAAAAATTTTACTTTGCAATCATTAAAACAAAAATACAATTTCCCAGTCTCTCTACTTAACATAAATTCTCAATTTAAAAGTCTATATAGATTTTTAATTTTCAATTACTAAGAAAAAAGTTACAATGAACTAAAATCTTACAAACAATACAACTAAGAACAAAAAGGCAGAAGTCATTGCTTAAGCACTCTTGCCTCCCCTTTAAAACCACAAAGAGCCCATCGCATCCTGTAGACAGACAGAAAGCAGCAACTGCATTGCATCTTGTACTATCGGGAACTAGAAGGACTTAATATTCTTCAACTTAAGGCTGTACAAGTCTGAAGATCTCGTAAGATATTAGAGGTAAATAAACTTTTTTAAAAACAAGTTAATCCTCCAATAAGAAATGGCTGTATTAGGATATTGTAGTAAGCTGGTACCTTTTGTTTATTGCCCCAAAGGCCACAATGGCCAGGCACCAACTGGAGAATGATTTGTTTCCCCTTTAAAGAGAGAGTTCTCAGAAATTCTTGGCACTGCAAAATTTAGGTGTTAATGGATGTTCAACACAGCTAACTGATTGAATGGCAGCATGACAATCAGAAAAAGTGACTGCCTTTGCAAACTTGTACTGAATAACTAATAATTGCTGTAAGGGTACGCAAATGGCTACTTCATCAAGGAGGTACCAATGTATCCTGCAGGAGCATAGAAAGAAAAAAGATTTGAAACTACACCAGCTCCAACCCTCAAATGACATTTAAACTGAGAACCCATCAGTAAAAATGTGCAGCCATTGAATAAGCAGATATCTAGTAGCAATGGTCTCCAAAGAAAGACATTTCAAAACACTTGGTGCAACATCGCTCTTTCTATGGATAGTTTCCACTAAGTCTAGCCTTACTTCGACATCAATCACCTCCAAAGGGCTTCTGGTTATCAAGAGAGATTGTTTGTTACCTGGAATCTCAAGATCTTTCTTCAAGGCTTTTTGAATAAATCTATATTGGAATTTTAATTTCCTAGGCTAGACTACGTGGTGGCATTGCAAATGTGGTCAAGAAGGGGAGAACGATGTTAATTAAGAACGGGAAAGTAAACAAGGGGTGTCAGGGGTTATAAGGGGAGATATACTGTAAAAGAGAGATGTTTTTAGGTCTCGTTCAGTTTCAATATATAAGGAATAAAAACTTGAATGGAGCTGGAAGTCAGTAGTTTAAAAACAATTACAGATACTTATGCTTATTGCCAGATGAAATTTTCCCAAATATCAGCAAATAATTTTATTTCTTTTGTTCTTTCATATTATAATAGTTTATTGTTTACATGCACAAAAACTGAGGTAGTAAAAAAATAAGCTTTTTAATAATATAGTACATAAACACAAAAATTACGTATTTATAACTATTTTTGCTAATAGTTTCTACAAATATCAGCATCACTAACGTAATTGATGAAAACAATATGAAACTAAAATAGGATTTGCATCAGTGAATTATAGTTAAGAATAATGGCCCCCTTTTTCTGAATATTATTGGAATAATTTAAAGATTAAATCCGATAGAATGTTAAGATAATTTTGCAGTCGAAAAAAAGAAAATATAACTCATTTTGATTCAATTTTCTCTTCTTTACAAATGCTGAATATCTGTTTGCTACACACTTTATCAAAGAGTGAATCAGTGTTTAATCCAGACGATAATATTAAGCGTTGATTAACATTTCCTGCAACTATTTTTTAATTAAGACTTCCTAAGAACAACCCCCTTAATTCTGGCTTGCAGCTTTTATTTTTATGCCAGGATATGAGTATAGTATCTACATTTAAACAATGGGATTTTTTTTAAACACTCTGGCATGACAATGCTTAGTAATAATAGTTTTAGCATCACTAAGAATAATTTGATGGGTTCTCATATTGATTTTTCCAAGAAATATTAAAAGTTGTAAGTCACAAGTATGAGCAATGTGTTATATATATATATACATAATATAACATAAGCATACCATAAAGTAAACTGAATCCCAATGAGCAATGTGTTTTATATATTTATTTATTTATATATAAAACTTGATGAATCCCAACAAAATCTGATCGAATGTTACTGAACTCTAAAGAGGGGTTTATACCAGTGAAAATGACAATACAATAAATTAAAATTCCATTTAATTCATTTTAATTATTTATTTATTATATTGATTCATTACTAATTATAATGGATTGGAATATTTGAATATGAATTACCTGAATATTTAAGAAAAATATTATAACTGCGAGAACAGAAAAAAAAAATTGGGGGGGAGGGAGGTTTGCTTTCTTAGAGAATGCATATGAATTCACTTTTACTCAATGAAAATTAAAATTTATTAGATAATTAATTTGTTCTCAATCAAGCAGTGATCTGTACTAATGCGCCTTTTTTCAAAAAAAAAAAAAAATTAAATGCTTCAAGAATAATTACAAAGGACTCAATTCTCTTCTTATCTTTAAATTTGTTATTAATAAAATTTCCTTTTTATGTATAATTATATGAAATAATTCTCTAAATATAATTCAGAGCAGAAAAAATAAGATACATAAACAGCTTGGAAATGGAATTAGCGCAGAGATTCTCTTTAAGAAATATGATGAAGCTTACAAAAAGTCTATGAAGCGAAGTCATTCCATAGAATACTTTACAGTACAAAGTCCGAGACCGGGAATGATCCGGAGCCCCCCCTTTTTTTTTTTACTTTACACATGCGCACTTGATTTTTTTCCTCCCACAATAAAACATGAGGAGAGTTCAGATTCTTAATTTCACTTTGGCATTAATTAAAATACCTTGTTACTGAAAAAACAATTATTTTAGCATAAATTTGTGTGATCAGTAACTTGGCTCCATAGCTGCATATCTGCTTGGCATACATCTCAAACCAAAACATTCTACATAAAAACATCCTTTGTTTTACACTACTAATATTTTATATTCCTGATGCCAACCTGGCAAATCATTATTTATTATATTTTGCTTCAATCACTGCATGTTTATCAGTATATCACAACTTGAGTAATAACTCATGCAGCGATGCTTAAACAATTTTTTTTTTTTTTATTAGTAATTAAATAACAAAAGTATGGTAACCTTTTATGTTGACATTACGCTTGGTGATAATTAAAGTTAAATGCTATAAGAAATGTCGACGAGGAAAAATTTAACAAAAATTTCTTTCCATATGCTAAAAAAAGATTTTATTCATGATACTCATAAATCAAAAGATTACATTTAGTGCTATTTGAATTAAGAATAACTGATTTGTTTTCACATAAACTCAGAACCAGCGCCAAAGCTTGGATTGCTGAATTTAGGGAAGATAAAATTTTTGGAATTTATAGAAGCACCGAGCAACAAAATTAAGAGATAACAAAATTTTTAGAATTTAGGGAAAGCATTGGAACTCGAAATTTAGAGGCGGCAAAAATTTAGAACTTAGGGAGGTGCTTGGTAGCAGAATTTAGGACCTGTATGTGCATATTTAAGCATGTGCAAGAAATAGACATATGTATAATAAATAACTAAACTAATGCAATTTAAGCTTAATTGTCTCAGTGTGTGATAGAAGCAAGACAAAATTTAGCAGAACAACTTGTTTTCTGTTACCAATCTCATGATACATAGCCAATAATGTATAGCGGGCGCTATTAAGCTATGCTTATACTTTACTGATTCCAAGGAATTTCATTTTAATATAGCAGATTCCTTAACTTTCTGAATTGATCCAGCTGATTATTTTTTGCAGGTTGTTATTATTACAGCATTTTATGAAAATTAAAGTTTGAACTTCCGATTATGGCGAAATAATTCTGGAGCTACAACAGGATCTACAAAGCGACAGCATTGATGTTCAGTAAACAAAAAAAGGAATTGCTGCAGGGGGGGGGGAATGGATAAAAGTATATTTATCTCAAAATCTGGAGGAGTTTGGCAAGGGAAAAGCAACTGCATATAACATAAGAAAACAGAAAAAGGACTTTTTGAATTTTTGGGGGATTCTAACATCCCACTCATAAAGAAAACAGGAAAAATTATTCATTATGCTGAAAGTGATGGTCAGACAGCGTTGCAGCGAAGGCATGCCATTGACGGGTCCAATGCTAATGGTAAAGTCAAAATATTTCGTGAAGAAATGAACTTAAAAAAATTAATGCACAAATTCAACAGGTTGGATAACCAAATTTAAAAATTGCCATGGTAAAAGGCAATTAAAAA